AGAATAGCAGTCTGCTGAGAAGAAACATGGTTAAGTATCGTGCTGCTCCATATAAGGTGACATTGAGATCCATAGAAGAGCAGATTGTCAGCAAGGCTGGCCAATGTGTAATGTCAGCAGAACTGGCTGCTGTGGCTCCCTGTGGATCCCTCCCCAAGGGTACACTCGACAGCTGTTTGACAGCCAGGTAAACCTGTCTTGACAGGACACACACCTCTGCCTGCTGCCCCTGAGCTGGGGGATGTGGGGCTGGGGTAGGGTGAGTTAACAAAGGGTAGAAGTGCCCACTGCCGCTTAGTCCTCAGAGATCGATGGGCTTAGAGCTGCATGAGCATCTGCAGAGGGTGGCACTCCAGCTGACCCTGGAAGCTGCTCCTCTGTGGCCTTTTTCAATTCTTAAAACCGGCACCTATTTAGATTGGGAGAAAATGTCCTCAGCCTATCAGGCAATCTGAGTACGTGACACAATCACATGCATGTTTTCCCCCAACATAATCTAGGATGAAAATATCTATAGTTTGGGGAGCTTTCTTGGGACCTCCCCAAGGCCTCTCTGCTCCTGGAGGGATCCATGTGGAAGAGACACTGCTGGCCTGCTGGGACCTTTCAAGCACATTCACAGTACCAAGACTACAAGTTCCAGGAGTGTGAGACAAGGTGAAGCAGGCCAACCTGTGAATGCCACAGGCCAGGCAGCACAAGTGTGGCAGACGATATTTCCTGAGCACTTGCCAAGTACAGAGTTCTGACCCCTATTCCAAGAATGAAGAAGACAAGTCCTGTCTTTGGAAAATGACCATCTTGCGCACAGGAAAGATATATGCAAGGTGGGGAGAGTATGAAATATGGGAAATATCTCCAAATGGCCGAGTGACCTAGTACTGTGTCTCTGAGGAGTTGTGTGGAGACAGAGGGCAGTCCTTCAAAGGTCTGGAGTCTTTAAGAGGTAAATGATGAGGTGGGCAGAGGGAAGGATAAGGTGAAGGTCACAGTTGGGACCCTACAGTGTAGGATTCACAGGTGGGGGTGGAGGAGAAAAGTCCAGAAGTTGAAGATTAGCAATGCAAGGTCTTGAGTGGTAGGCAAGGTCTTGAAGGAGAACAGATGTTGTTCCATAAGTAATGGATACTGAAGATTTGTGGGTAGGGGGTGGACTGGAGAGATGAAAGGAGCAGTTAGGAATGAAATATCTGGAGGTGGTGTGCACAAGGATTCCAGGCTTAAGTGGAAACTATTGGAGTTGAGAAGGATGAGTCAGAATCTATGGCAAGTAATTCAGGATCCAGATGCCTAGAGCTTGGACTCGAGTGCAGATGGAAGTGGGAGCTTAGAAATAGACATTTGACATGTTATAAAGGTTCCTCAGGACTGCAAGCTCATTTGCTGTTGGAAGAAGAGAGAAAATGTCAGTCTTGAATGGCCAAGCAGTAGCAGGGGCAGAAATGGGCAGTATTTTCCACATCCACGCATCCAACAAGAGGCAGAAGTAGAGGGTAAGCAATGAACTCTATGCAGTCTGCCCTTATGGAACACTACCCCTTTCTCTTATCCCCAGTTCTTCCAAGAAAGGCCCTGAGAGCCATCTGAGATGGACATGGTGGAGATGATAGAAGGATAAAGAGGAAAGAAAATCTCGCCACGAGCCCTGTCATCAGTACTTTACTCACATTCTGAGAAATCCTTACAATAACCCACAGAGCTTCAGAAGAGGAGTGCAGCAGGGCTAGGATGCTCAGAGAAGGGGCCCTGAGCTCTCGAGCACCTCAGGGCTCCTCCTGCCTGCCTGGCACCAAGCAGACAGGCAGACAGATGGGCTTAAGAAAGCAAAGGCCCTGGTGGGGAGCATGGTCCAGCCTTCAGCGAGAGATCCTCCTGTGCTCCACCTGTCAGGAAGTGGAGCAAGGGCAAGAACCTCTGTCAGGATATCAGACAGAAAAGGGATTTGGGGGAACAGGTGGGGAGTTTATTTTTGGCTGTGTTGAGTTTGACAGGCTAATGAGGCCTCAGGGAGACAGGGAGATCTAAGCTTGGATGGGAGGTCAGGGCTTGAGTCCAAGGCTTGGGGTCATCTGACAGAGGCTGAGACTTGGGACCATTGTTGAAATGCATTCTTCTTCAGAGCAAAGTTGACACTGGTCTCTCTCAAATTTGCATTCCCATCTCAGCTGGTTTATCTGGTAGGGGCAATAAGGTAGCAGATGAATACTAATGAGAAAATGAATAGAAAAGGCATCTTCTAATTAATCAAGTTGTGATTACAGATACTCATTTAAGGAAAGAAGTATATTTTTCTTGAACATAAAGGACAGAAGCAGGCATTGGCTTTTAAGGTCATGCAGGCTATCACATTTGTTCCTGTCCATTTTTCTTTTCCCCACTAATTAATCAATTAATTTAGACTCTATACTGAAACCAGTTTTATTTCTTTCAGGAAGGCTTGTGTTAATTAGAATTTGGTCTTCTGATCCTCAAGGGATGATTGAGTGCTACATAATCATTCACTGAACAAACAGTGTATTAATTCTGGGACTGCAGTCAACAGTTGATCCCCTCACCCCAGTTTCCAAGAAGGAAGAGAATTAGGTCCCACAAAGTAGTAAAGGGATAGAAAGAAAGCTGAGAAGTTGTCCACATTAAAGACACAGACACCTCTAAAATGTACACAGGGGATGATGCACAGAATGTCACAGAAGTGGGGGGCTTTGGGAAGTGATTAGGGCTCAAGGGCAGAACCTCATGAATGGAATTAGTGTCATTAGGAAAGAGATGTGGGGCCAGCCAGATAGCTCAGTGGACTAAAGTGTCTGCTTAGGCAGGCACAGGGACCGGGGTTTGATCCCACCCCTGGGACGCACTGAGATGGCAACTGAGACTGGTGTGGTGGCATGCACGTGTAATCTCAGTGCTTGGGAGGCTGAAAACAGGAGGATTACTATGAGTCTGATCTACATAGTGAGACACTGTAGACCCTGTACTAAATACATTAAATAAATAAATAGGAAAGCGATCTGGAGGCTCCCTTGCTCCTCATGCCATGAGAGGATACAGCGAGAAAGTGCAGTCTATGAATCAGGAAAGGGACCCACACTGTGCACTGCATCCATGGGTGCTTTGATCTTCAACTTTCTGGTGTGCAGAACTGTGCAAAACAGAGTTGTGTTGTTTGTAAGCCACTGAGTCTATAGTATTCTCTTATAGTGATCCAGACTGATTAGGACAGCAGATGAGCAGTAACTAAGAGAAACAAAAAAGAAGATGGGGCTGGAAAAGCAGGAGGCAAGGCAGCCAGGAAGCCAGGGAGGCGCGAGCACCAGGATCCAAAATACCTACTCCATTGGAAGAGGGAGAACAGCTCCTGCAGGCTGCCAACCACAGACACGGGAACAGTGGGCTGTTTGGTAAGGTGGAATTTTTTTAAGGCCTCTGATATATTCTTTCCTCCAGTGTAACTTAGTCATAGCTAATGACAGAACTGGTGATGTGGGTTACTTCTGAGTCTAAGTCACAGAGACAGCGGCAAGAAACAAGGTCTGGGAAGTCCTAGCGAGAATAATGTCCTCCAAAGACACCCAGGTTCTAATTCCCTGAATGTGTGACTATGTTATGGTACATGGCAGAGAGGAATTTAGGTTGATAATCAACCAACCCTAAAATAAGGACAGCATTCCAGGTTATTTACTGGGCCCAGATCTGTATAGTCACGTGAGTACTTAAAAGGGGAAGCAGGAGCCCAGAAGTCAGGCACAAAGCCATTGCTGGCCTTGGAAAAGTGAGGGACTCAGGAGCCAAGGAACCCAGGTGGCTGCTGAGCTGGAGAAGAGGGAAGCAGTCTCCTGGAGCTTCTAGAAACAAGGCAGCGCTGCTGACACTTTGATTTTTAGCTGAGTCACTCATTTCTCGCTGTCTTATGCTATCAAGCTGTGGCAACAATAAGAAATAAATCTGGGGCCATATGCACCCTTGTCCTAGTCCTCATATCTGATCCATTTCTGCTCTCACCACATGCTTATTATTTGTACTTATTTGTTTATGCTGTGTATTCTCATTATGCATATTTGTCGTCTCTCTTTTAAAATGATAAGCTCCTTCAGAGTAAGGACTATGTGTGTTTTGGTTTTTGCTTTTCAAATGTATATCTGAAGCACCAAATACATTACTCCTTCCATTAAGAATCTGACCAGTTATTTATTGGATGAAAAGTAGAAGCAGCCAACTTAGCAAAGAGATAAAACAAGATCTTGTGTAAAACAAAATATGGAATCCCATTAGTTTGTCCCCTGTCAAGCTGAAGAGAAAGAATCACATGGGTGGCAAGATGGCTTATTGAGAGATGTGTTATCCACCTCTTTCTTTCCTCTGATTTTCCAGCTAAGTTTCATCTTCCCTTAGTAGGTGACTAGGGGCAGAGAGAAGGGACAAACAGAAGCTAGGAGGTCACTAGCTTCTTCCCAACTGGTCAAGGCTTCAAAGGAATGCAAGTGGTTTGGAAGGCAGAAAGCTTCGAGGGGGTAAGGAAGACATATCCCCAGAGCCCAGGAAGGACACCAAGTTCCTCTGAGTAGCAGGGACCTGAGTGCTGTTGATGCTAAGATCTCAGAGGGTGGCACTGTAGGCCACATCAAGGCCTGGGAGTCCCTTGAGTCAGCCATGATGGCAGGCTCCATGCAGAGTGCAAGAGCTGAGAACATGAGGAAAGGGGTAGAGCAGTGGGGAATGCTGAGACCACATACCCTGGCACCTGCTCTTCCCTGCCTCCCAGGGCTTTGGCCTGGGACCTTTGTGGACCAGGAGGCAAGGAGGAAGTTAAAGTCGGGGAGACCTGTGGTCACCAACATGAACCTTCTGACCAGCACTTTAGGAAGCAGAGAAGGGCTGGAGTCTAAAATATGTGGATTTAGAACAAAACTATCAACACTCTGCACATCCAAATTTTGGACTAGTACTCAAAATGATGACAACCCTTTTGGCTTTAGATGAAGATTTTTAATCTCAGGGTGGAGGCCTGGGTACGGGTGGTATTAAAGGGGACAGTAAATCCTGCGTGTGGGCAAAGGATGAGCCAGAGCTGCTGGTGGGTTCTGTGGCTGACTAGGTTGGAAGCACATACTCCGTCTCATCGGGGAAGAGGCACAGATACATCAGAAGGCAGCTCCAGATGCCAAGGGTGAAAAGGACTCCCAGGCCTGGCGTGGAAGCTTCCTGCTATGTGGGGAGAAAGGCAGGACCCTGAGGCAAGTCAGGTCTGCAGCTGGCAGGGCACCCTCCCCACCATGGGAACCTCTGGGGAGCAGCCTCGGGCTTGGCCATCCCAGTCAGTCCTCCTTCCTGGTGCCACGTCCTCTACGACTGAGTGGTTGTGCTGAGTGGCAGAGTCCACTACTGTCCCTATGCCCCACACAGCTACAGTGGGGCTTTGATAGAATCTGGAGCACACTCCCTTTGGGATAACGAGACACCCACTGAGAAGAGGGACTTCTGGCTGGATCTACCTACCCCTGATTGCAGTTGGTCTTTAAGGCACACAATATACATTTCTCCTGCAGAGGACAGAAACGGCACAAGAAAGGTCATTTTTCCTTGGTCCAAGGTGGCCAACCTGCCGGGTACCTCATCAAGCCTTGCTACAGGAAAGGACAGAATAATGCAGAGGAGCTTGGGAGTGGGCACATCCAGGATCCAGTCCTACATGGTCAGGCTTAGGAAGACCCCAGGTAGAGGGGACAAGGCAGGTAAGGGCAGGCTCTAGCTTGGGGAGGCACCCAAGGGCAAGCAGGGTATGGGGGCAGCCTCTTTACAGCAAGAGCTCAGGGGCAGGCCAGGCAGGGGAGCTACAGCATCAGTCCTGGGCTCAGGCAGGGCTTCACTTACGCAGCAGCTCCTACACTGGTGAAGGGAATCCAGTGGGTCCTTTTTTGGTTTTTGTGGTTCCATCACCTTCTTGTGCAGAGGCGATGGTGCTCTGTCAGCTCTGTCCATTTTCTTGGGCCTGAGCTGGAGGTCTGTGTCAGCCGTCCCTATCAGCCTGAGGTCCTGCTGCTCCTTTGATCCTCTTCGAAGAGGGCTGGGGTTTAGGGAGAGTTGGGGAGAGAATTTCTATCTGTGCCCAGGTGGCAGTGGAAAGCTTGACTCCAAGCCACAGGACCAGCAGGAGCCAAGACAACTCCCTGAGGAGTCTGACTGTCCTCTGACTCCCGAGGACCTTCAGCCAAGAGGAGGAGGGAGATTCTTTAGGAATGAAGGGTGATGGATCCAAGCTACACTTACAGTTTGTTGTCCTTTTGTATATTTATTAGAACGTCCATCTTCTCATCCATATCCTTCTGCATTTCCTTCAAGAGAGAATTCAAGACTAGAACATTCATCATGAAGTTTTTGAAATACACACACACACACACACACACACACACACACACACCTTACTTCCTCAATAATTTCTACTAGACATAGTCAACATGGCTGATGGCTCCTCTTAGTGACAAGGACCTTTTCTCCCTCCAAGACATGCCCATTCCACAATAAGACCAAAGCACAGACAGTCATGGGGTGGGGGTATCCAAGGCCTCTAGGTGAGTTAAAAGCCAGACACAGATCTCAGAGAGGGAACACAGCTGTTGTTGGTTGATGCCTGCAAAATGATGACAGCAAGAAAACCAGTCTCGTAATCCCAGAGACACTTGACTCATGTTTTGACCCTGGCCTCTGTTTTTGTTTGCTCTGTTTTTTACCCAGCCCTGACAGAAATGGTCAATGCAAAGTAAACTGTCAGCCATTATAGTGACATAACAGGCTTATTACTCACAAAGCCATGAAAGAATACAACATTCTTGACAGAAGATAGATCTATAAAATTTTACCTTGGGAAATGATATAAATAGTGCACATGAAAAATTCTAAAGTGGCAGAAGGTATAAGGGATAATATTTATTTTGGGGAAAAACATCATAAAATATAAGTGAAAATCATTTGCTCCAATAAAAGTAATTTTCATAAAAAATGAGACATTTTGAACAAGTCTAATCTGTGGCAGAAAACTGACCAAGAAATTATATTATTGGGGAAAGAGGTTTTCAGATAACTTTTATTTTAAAGAGAAAAATAAAATTTCAAAGCAAGATCATAGGAGGGTAACAGTGGTTAATAAATTGCATATTGTTATCTTTAAATGAGTTACTCAGAGTACAAGATATAGGCATTTAATTGTCTAAACAATATTAGCATAAACTTCTTTCAGTGAACTAAGAAATTAGTAGTATGACTATTTCTTAACTATATTTTATATATGCATATTTATTTTTTGCTTTTCCCTTCATTCTTTTCTCCATTCCTTAATTCTAGTTTTCTCTTTCCCTTTGAAGTTTCTTCCCATTTTACAATATATATTGTACATTTTGGATCTTTTTTACTCTTGCAACTTCTCACACTAGGGGAATAATATGATATTTACTTACACATGTTCATCTGGTTTATTTCACTTGTGAGTGTGGTCTCGAGTTGCATCGATTTACCTATAACAGTCTCCAACTTATCCTTCTTTATGGCTGAGCAGTACCCCATTGAATAAAAAGACCACATCTTTTTTATCCACTTCTTAGGTGATGGGCTGTTTCCAAGATGAGCTGTTTCTAAGATGGGCTATATCCATTTCTCAGTTTTGGTTGTTTCCAAGATTTAGCTATTACAAATTGTGCTTCTATAAACATGGTGCACATATATCACTGTGGTATGATGTTTTAAATTCTTTTGGGAAGATACCCAGAAAGAGAATAGTAGCTGGATCAAATAGGATCTCCAACTGTAGTTTTTTGAGGAATCTCCATATAGATTTTTTTAAAAAATTTTATTTATTTATTTATTTATTTATTTAGTGTGTGTGTGTGGCCAGCTCAGCCCACCAGAGGGCGGGGCTGGCTGGCATGTGGTGCTGGGGGATTGAACCGCGGTCTTTGTGCTGTGCTTGGCTTAGTTTGTTCTAAGTAGGTACTTTAGACCACTGAGCCATCTCACCAGCCCCTCCATATAGATTTTGACAGAAGTTGCATTAATGTACATTTCCACTAACAGTGGAAAAGAGTTCCTGTCCCCCCCAGCATTCCCCCAGCATTTGTTATTGATTTATTGATAATAGGTATTCTTTCCAGGGTGAGATGAAATCTCAGTATTGTTTTAATTTACATCTCTCAAATGACCAGTGATGTTGAACATTTTTCATTTATTTTTTGCCATTTATATTTATTATTCTGAGAAGTGTGTATTCATCTTAGATGCCCGTTTTTGGATTGGGTCTTTAAATTTGTGAGATATGATTTTTTTTGACATCTTTCTGTGTTCTTGACAGTAATCTTCTGTCTGAGGAACAGCTGGCAAACATTTTTGCCCACATTGTGGGTTGTCTCCTCCTCACTCTGTTGGTGTTTTTTTTCTTGCTGTATAAAAAGCCTTTTAATAAGACCAGATTCAAGTTGTTGATTTGTGATAGTTCCTGTGCAATCAAGGTTTTATTCATAAAGTATTTGCCTACACCAATATTTATAAGTTTTACCTATTCTTTCTTCCATCAGAATAGATAGATAGATAGATAGATAGATAGATAGATAGATAGATAGATAGTTTTAATGTATTTGGTTATTGCAGGGTCTCACTACACAGTTCAGAATCATGGTGATCCTCCTGCTTTCAGTCTCCCCAGCAGTGCTGGGATTATAGGTGAGGACCACTCAGGAGAGGTGAGGTTGTCTGACACCGCGTGGCTCAAGTAATAAAGAACCAGGAGGGCAGGCCAGTGACTTTTATTTCTGTTGGTTTTGAGAGGATGACCAGGTGGGGGCCTGTCCACTTAGGATCCAATCCTGTAGGCTGTATGGACTGAGATTGGCCAATGTTGGATGCAAGCTAGCAATGGCAGGTGGCAAAGGCAGAAGCAGAAGTAGAAGCAGAAGCAGAAGCAGAAGCAGAGGGTGGCTCAATGAGGGAGCTCAAAACCAGAGCAGGGGATGCCCTGGGAGCTACATGACTCACCAATTCAAGTCATGGCACCAAAAAATGTCAGGTCTTAGCAATAGCAATGATGGCAGTAGCTGCAGCGGAGGTGCAGCAAAGCAACAGAAAAGATAAAAGAGGTTTTTATTGCAGGCACGGGAGGACCTCAGGAAAAGAGACCTGACAATCCTCCAGAACCAACTCTTTAGTTCATTGATTCTTTATATTGTTTCATTAGTCTCTAATGCATTAATTTCTATTTGGATATTTTTCATTTCCTCCCTTGTAACAGTTTTACTTAGCCTGTTCTTTTTCCAGAAGTTTGAGGCTTACCATTAAGTTATTTATTTGCACTTGCTCTATTTTCCTAATATGGGTATTCACTGCTATAAATTTTCCTCTTAGTACTGTTTTCATTGTGCCCCATAAGTTCTGGTATATTGTATTGACCTTATCATTTAATTGTAGAAACTGTCTAATTTCTTCTTTAATTTTATCTGTGACTTTTTGGTTGTTCAGACAGGTACTATTTAATTGCCATGTGTTTATGAAGTTCTTGTGGTTTCTTTTGCCATTGATTTCCAAGTTCATTACATTATGATCTGATAATATTCATGGGATTATTTCATTTCCTTTACATTTACATAATGTCTCTTACTCTTCTCTCTTTGCTAGGACAAATACCCGACATCCAAAATGCAGGAAGGAAAGGTTTTTTTTTAGCTCACAGTTACTGGAAGTTTCAGTCCATACTCAGCTGGCTTCAAGGCAGAGTGACACATGGCAGAGAGCAGCCTTTCACGGCAGCAGCAAAGAGCAGAGAGAAAATGGGAGTAGCAGCAGCAACAATGCCTACAGGCAGCAATGGTAACAGAGAGCAAGTCTGTCTCCCTTAAGTTGCAGTCAGGCTATCAGCCCCAGGCTGGAAGTCGTACTCACACCCATAATCCTAGCAGCATTCACCCCCATAATTCCAGTGGATCAAGAGTTAATCACAAACTCTAGAAGTTGGCCCCATGACTGCATGAGGCTTTGAGGGGACAACTAGACACGAACCATAACAATAAGCAGGTTCTATGAGCTAGCATGTGCTCTATTTTGGAGAATGTCCCATGTGCAACTCAGAAGAATGTGTATTCTGATGTTGTGGGGTAGAATACTTTGTAGACATCTATTAAGAATAGACATCTTAATAGATGTAGACATCTATTAAGTCCATTTGTTTAATGTTTGGCTCACTTCTAATATTTCATTGTTGATTTTTTGGTCTAGTTAATCTACTTTTTTGTGACATTTGGGTATTGAGGTCCCCCTATACAATTGTATTAGTGCTTATTTGACTTTTCCTGCCCATTAATATTTGGTTTGTATAGTTGGGTACATTTGTATTTGTTACATATATATTTAGGATTATTATCTCTTCCTCTTGGATTGCTCCCTTTAGAAGGATGCAGTGGCCTTCTTCACCTCTCTTCATCAGTTTTGAAATTTACTTTACAGATAGAATAGCTATCCCTGCTTTTTTTTTTTCTGGGTTGCTGGTGCCTAGAGTATTGTTTTCCTTTGACTTTCAGTCTATGAATATCTTTTTGAATTAAATGTGGTTTTTTTTGTATGCAACATATTGTTGGATCTTTCTTCTTGATCCATTCTGCTAGTCTGTGTCTTTTAATTGGTGAATTGAGGCCATTAACATTGATGGTTATAACATACGTATTGACTTAACCTTGTCATGCTATTTTCCTGTTGTTGGTGCCCCCTCTTTTCTCCATCCCTTTGTTTGCCTTGCCTGGTATATTCAATCTGCTGGGGTTCATGCAGTTGTAGTCCTTGTTGTCTCTTTCTAAAATGTCCTTCAAAACATTTTGAAGTGCTAGTTCAATGGTCATAAATTTCTGCAGGTGTTCTTTGCCATGGAAGCATCTTATTTCTCCTTTTTTTTTTCTTTTTGAGAAAGTCTCATTGTGCAGTTCAGGATGGCCTTGAGCTCACTTTGTAGCTCAGGCTGGTCTCAAACTCACAACAATCCTGTCTCAGCCTCCTGGGTACTGGGATTACAGGAGTGCACCATCACTCCTGGCTCTCCATTAGTTTTGAAAGACAGCTTTGTAGGTTACATCAATCTGGGTTGAAGGCTGTTTTCCTTTAGAACTTGAACTATTTCACTCCAAGCTCTCCGTGACTTGAGAGTTGGTGCTGAAAAGTCAGCTGTGATTCTGACACACTGTCCTTTGTAGGTGATTTGTTTCTTTTCCCTAACAGATTTAAGATTCTATTCTTGTGTTGACTTTCTAGAGTTTTGACTATGACATGCCTGTCTATAATTTTTTGTGTGTGGCTAATTGGAGTTCTG